GTGTGTGTATGTGCGTGTGGGCGGGCGCGCGCGTGTGTGTGTGTGTATGTGTATGTGTGGGGGGGGACCCATATGTATATATATGAGTATATATACCCAACACAAAATCTCAAATAATAACATAAGACTAAGAGAATCTTTAAATTGTCTTTTAGACGCAAAAAATATTTTATGACTCGGTTTAAGATACTTTTTGTTGTCTGGGTAAAGTATATACTCGTATGTAATTATAATATATACATTAACTAAAATTTTATACACGTACATATTTATATGTATCATGCATACAAATAATCATTTACCAGCATAAGAAAAATAAATTTTTCTTTTTATATAATTATTTTCTTTTATGAAATTATATTGCTCATGTTTGTTACAGGTTTTGTATCGCAAGAATGTGACATGATCAAGAATTGTAGCGTAATTAACATGTATGTGGTAATTGTACCCACTATCTACAAAAAATCAAATGAAAAAAATAAACAAGATACATTTTATTAATCAAAATTAACGATTGACAACTCACTGTAACGAGAAATGTTGCATCCACATTGAAACCTTTGGCGGAAAATATATTTTTGTAATGCAATAGTTGCAAGGAAAACAACTGCAACTGTAATATTAGAACACAAAATCGTTAAGTAGGAATAAAAAACAAAATTATATTCAAATAAATTTAGCGTAAAAAACCGTATTAGCATACGTGTTATAAGAACAGTATACAAACTAAATTAAATTTTTACTACCTCATCTTTGATTGGTTTATCTCTGGTGCTGTTAAGTACGTCGTGAATCGTTGTACGGATTTCTTGAGCCTGATTCTTTGTAGTTTCGCAAGTCCAAAAAATTAACGCCGTTTTTGCAATGTAATAAATTATGCCTAGTAAGAATAAATCACTAAATTGTCTATTCAAATTAATAACTAATCCATCATGCCACTCTACTGCATGACAATATATGTCAAGATTAATTTCAATAAGAGCTATGAGTATCGTAATAAGAACTTGTCCACTGAAAATAGTATTCAGTATCTGTACTGTATTGCTAGTCATCATATGTTGCTTCTTTAAAGCCTTAAGCTTAATTATCAAGGATGAATTCCTGGGCTCATAATAAGATGTGAGAACATATTGTTCACTGTTTACTATAAATTTTTGTATGTGTCGTAGATTGTTATCAATTTCTTTGAAACAGACTTTTAATACACAAACACAGTTTACATACAGCATATCCATCTGAAATATCAACAGATTTGCATATATTGAAAGTATTACGGTGAAGATATCCGAGCGATTCTTGTACAGATATGTAGAAATTAGGCCGATAATATAGATAGAACCAAAGATGTCCTTGGTGTGGATTAATCTGGATAATTTCTGGTATGACTCCGGAGGTAATTTTGAAGAAATCTCCATTATGGTCTGGAGCAAATGCATTCGTGGATTATTCAAGACAA